TTTTACATGTACGACATTTACTACTACTGTATATGAATATTGAAATATATCTGACAATTAAATGGAGACGGTCACCATGAAATTCTATAAAGTATTTTATATTTTTACTCGTGGCTATAAAATGGCAACGTTGTCTTAAAAGAGTCTAATGCAATATCATTAATTATTTATTAATTTTATATTTGATTTAACTCTTATTGATTTAATTATAAGTGTTATTAGTAATAAATAATTACATAAAGAATATATTCTAATCTTGTTATACTAAAATAATATGAAATTTTATATATTTAGTTTTTGATCAAGTTTAATTCTTTTAAACATTACATTTTGTTTAATATACTGTTTAAAATATTTTACAATAATGAGAGAAATATTTTACAATATTTATAATGTTTAATTATCATTGAATATTAATTAATTAACAAAAACAAGTAAATTATAAATAATATGATGATTTTACAATTATAAAATGAGGATGCAGTTATTTGTTTTTAAATTATAAAGTACAAATAGTGAGAACCATGTTGACTTTATTGTATTTGAGAATTTATATCCTATTAGATTATAACAGATGTTCTTACATATATTAATAATATAAAATTTGTACATAATATCTGTTATAATAAACTAAATCTATTGTTAATAGTGTTTTGCCAAATGATGGACACAGTTATATATTTAAATTCTTGGCCAATCTATGGCCTGGCATTTGTAAGCGCTCTTTGTTTATTGTATAAGTAAGTTATTGAATAAAATCGAAATTGACATAATTTAGTTTATTTAACATAATTATATCTCTATATTAATGTTTTAAAAATGTTTAAATAAAAATTTTAATTAATTTTAAATAATTGAGCATGTTAGGCTAACTTTTCTATGTTTATTGGCAGACATTTAACCAAGAATTTTGGTTACTTTAAAAAGTTGGGCATAAAAGGGCCCAAACCTGTCATAATATTCGGTAATCTATTGGATCTGCTATTTGTTTCAAAGCCCGACCTCGAAGTGCAGCGACTCAAACAATTTGGCACAATTTATGGGTAATTAATGTTTATTAACTTATTTTTATAGATGTTTAATTATAAAAGAATCTATTTTAAGTTTAAATTAATTATTTTTTGCAAAATTAGTGTCTAGTATTAAAATCTTTATTAAAAATCGCTAACATTTTTGTTTGTGTTGTATGTTTTGATACCCGAAAAAGCGATGTTCTAGAAATAAATTATACAATATGTGAAACAGTATAAATATATTTTTAATTAAATTAAATTGCATAGAATATTCGAAGGCAGTAAACCGCTCATACAAGTGGCTGATCCCGATTTAATCAAACAGATTCTGGTGACCGACTTTCGGCTCTTCAACACCAAAGTGCGGATCACAAACATCGGTCACCCCGTCATCGAGCGTATGCTGGTGTCAGTGCGGGGCGACGCGTGGCGGCGCACGCGCACAGCGGTCAGCCCGGTGTTCGCCATCGGACGCATGCGCAAACAGTACGCGCTGATTCGTCACTGCATCGGCGCGCAACTCGTGAACCAATTGCAGGCCTGTGTCGACACCTGTACGCC